GGGAAAGGAATGCTCCTGCTTGCTTAACCTTGGTTACATTTTGACTCCACACAGGCACTTGGATTTTGTGAAGTAGACCAAAGACTATTCACATTTGTGCCAGCACTCACAGCAGTCAGCATGAACAGCGATTTTTTCCCTGCCATGCATATTTATAGCCCTTTTGGCCAGCAGAGTCTGTGCCAGTTGCTGAGTGCAGGCAAAATTACTGCAGCACAAGGAAGAAACACTACTTTCTTCTCCACTTCACACTCCTATGCTTTCGATTCTGTGCTGCTTCCACACGATGTTGTCCAAGCCTGTATCTTAAACAGTTTGCTTTCCAAATGCACTGTAAAAATCTAAGGAACTGATTGTCTATGCTTACATGAGTTAATTGCCTTCTCCCCAGTCTCTTAATCCTTTGAACCACAAATCATCCTCAGGTATGTATATGCTCAGCCCTCTCCTGGTGTGCAGGAGCATTTTACCTTCTGATACATTCTGGCTAAGACTAATATTTTAATGAGAACTGCTGCTGCTTTTATTAAAATTAATGTGATTATTTATGAAATACTACTATCAGTTAAAACATTAAACCCAGCTTAGGATACTCAGCCTTTTGCACTATTGGCTCTGGTGTATCTTCAATCCTGCTTTTTTAGCTGTTGGATTCTGGAACTGTGAAAATGGAAGAAAAGGTCAGCAACCAGTAAGTCTCTCTCTATGGGCAATATACTCATTTTTTCCCTTGATACAGGAGCATGTGCATTGTTCGTAATATTTTGAACAGATTGATACACATGTAAGGGTAGAGTTTTTGTTTAGTTTCTTTTCTCAATGGAAAAATAATAGAAGTTAAGTGTCTACACCTTGTGAATAACATACCTATTGACCAGATAGTGGGAAAAAAATTGAGAAAAGCATATCAGTGAGTTCAGGAGGAAGTTCGTGGGGGCAGAAATCAACACATAAAAACTTTAAAAAATAGATATAAATTCATACATATAAATGCATCTATAACTATAAATGTGTTAAAAATACTGTAATAGGCCTACCCACTAAGGACCTAATAGTATTTCTTGGGTTCAGTAAATCACTGAAGTGGGCAAAATTCATATTTAGAGCCAATTTGTGTGTGAGTCTGAAAAGTCTTAGTGTGCTTTTCTGCCCATTTTTTTTCGAGGCATTGGCTTTGTTCTGAATTTGTTCCAAACACAAATTCATTTTCCTTTTGAATTTCATTTTTGTAGAGCCCAGATCCATTCTAGTGTGTCTAACTAAGAGAATTATTCACCTGGTATAGTTTAGGTTTAGGTTTAGGTTTAAATTTACCTAGGTGATCGACTGAAGCCGATCGCCTAGGTAAATTTAAGGTGAAAGGAACACAAGCAAGAGAAAGAACTGCTGGAATTAGAGAAAGCACAAAGGAGAAATCCTTTTTTTGACCTCTGGATTTTTGAGTTTGTTCAGCTCTGCATACTTTAAGAATCAGTTTTGCTCTCTGTTCAAACAGCTTTCATCTATGAATGAAAAATGAGATTATATTGGCAATTACAGTCTAGGAAGTCTATCTTTTAAAAATAAAGGAAAATGTATTAAGAGGGAAAAATTCTTTAAGGAGAGATTATAAAGAGCAAAACATGGAAGTGATCGCTTTTTCAGGAGTACTAGAAAATTAATGGTTACTGCTTATTCAATAGTGTAATATATTTAATCCACGTTTCTCTGCCTTTACCCTGCTTTTATTCATTATTTTATGGTAAAATACACATTTCTGTCAGGATAACAATGACTACTTATGTTTAGTGAGGGCTTATAGTTACCTTTTTGCCTCATACGCTCTCACAGTCTGATACACCGTGTTCACCCCATCCTGTGCACGCTTGTGGTGATTCTGTTGTTGCTACATGCTGCAACTTAAGCTAGTGAAAAAATTATTTATTAAAGTTGTCCCAAGTGGTCAGAAGGGAGATGTGTTTAGCACAAGGGATATATTTGGACAATGATATAGAACATGACATGGGATGGAGAAGCAGAAGCAGAATTTATTACTTGAGAAAATTTGGTTGTTGCATCAGAATAAGGACAGCCACTGGCCCCAGGGTTCAGCTGGCTGCCATCCAAAGTCTAGTTTGGTGTGGCACAGCTCTGTGACCTTGACTCAGTTTTAATGAGAAAATTGCTCAAATATCAGGAAGTTCACAAGCTACTGTTATGCAAAATAAGAAAAGTGAAAGCACAGAGAGAAGAATTTTGTTAAAAGGGTAGCAATAGCAACTCTGGGCTGCAAGAGGAAAAAAAATAAATCTGTACCTTAAGGTATAAAAACAATTGTTAAAAGCACGGAATAAGAAAATGGCAACTCAGCAACACTGAGGATCAGCCTGTTATGAGGATTAAGATATAGACTTAAGAGGAGTGGCTGAGGGAGCTGGGGTTGGTTAGCCTGGAGAAAAGGAGGTTCAGGGAGGACCCTATTGCTCTCTACAAGTACTTGAAAGGAGTGAGGTGGGGATTGGTCTCTTCTCAGAGGTAATAAGAGACAGGAGAGGAAATGATCTCAAGTTGCACCACGGAAAGTTTAGATTGGATGTTAGGAAAAAATTCTTCACTGAAAGGGTGGGTAGGCATTAAAATAGGCTGCTGAGGAAGGTGATGGAATCACCATCCCTGGAAGTGTGCAGTAGGTGTGTGGATGTGGTACTTGAGGACATAGTTTAGTGGTGTTACCTTTGAATTCCTGCCAAATGTTTCGTGTTTTTTGAAACTCAAGGTCAAACATCAAGGAGTGCTGAAACAGGTACGAGGCAATTTTTGCACTTATCTCTGCTGACTAGAAGTAGGACTAGGACCTCAACTAGGAGAACTGTTATGTGTGGAATATGTTAATCTTCAATAGAGGAAAAGGATCACGTTTAGCTTTTACTAAATTGTTACAGTGAAGTCAGGGCATGCTTTCAGACAGTGGAGACAGAACCACTTTTGCTTACAGAGGAACCACAATAGAATAGTTTTGTGAGTTTTTTTAAAGGTTATAACACATGCCAGCAACTGTGATTTTATCAAGTTGCTGCACAATCTCATGTCCCTAAACAAAGCTGCTTAGAAGCACAAGTTACATTTTTGCATCCCTTTAAAAGAAATCTTACTCCTGTGTAAATGAGCTCATGAAATTTCCAGTGAATTCCTTGCCTCTCTTTTATCATCAGCAAGTCTTCAAAGTTGAAAACACATATATTCCTGTTCACTTATTCTGACTGGTGGACAACTTTAACCACATGTTAGCTTTTTTTCTTTCTTATGCTTCCAGAGCAATGAGATAACTCTGTAAAAATATTTCTGAAGATCTGTAGTATAAAGGAGATTTACCTTTTGCTAATGTCAGTGCAAATCAGAAGTCATTCTGTTGGAGCTGATGGAGCTGCATAAACATAAGGAAAAGAAATGGTTTATAAATTTAAGTGAACATTTCACTGTTTCCATGAACGTGTCCTTTCTCATTTTTCTCACATCATATTTGTCACATTGTAGCAGTCAGTGACAGAATTAACATTTTCCAGATTCCTGTCATAAACAAAACTTAATAAAAAAAAATGCAGAGCAAATTTGAAGGCTAAGACTTAGGTACTATTAATGTGGTGTACAGTGATTGCCTTCTGCTGACCTTGGCCTTTCTATTAACTTTCCCAGCGAAGATTGCTTGCAACAGAGCAAAATAAAAATTTTGTGATTGGATGTAATTTTCCCTCATCTGCAGTTCCTTGGTTGTGATGGGGACGGTGTGGGAGGCAGGTCCAATAAAAGCAATGCTGGCAAGAAATTATATCAAAGTCTTGAACATTTGGATTGCAAGCCCACATATATAAACACACATACATAATTTCCTCTTAATGTCTCTTCCATTCATGGCAAGGCATCCACACCACTGTGCTTTCAAAAGCAGCTCCTCTTTGATGTCTTCCTGAGCAGTCCAGTTGAAGTCACAAAGGGAGAAATCCCACTTGTTTCCTAGAAAAGAGCCTGCCATCAACATCTCTGGGTTCCTCTCACTTACTAAAAAATGGAGACAGAAGGATGAATAATTTTTACCTATGCTTGTTCAGCTTTGGAGACTTAAATAAATTGTCTCATAACAGTTCAGATTTGAAACAATGTGGGTTTTTTTTCTCCCCCCCCCCCTTTTTTTTTTTTTCCAATTTAGCCTTATGTGATACCTCTGCTTGAAACTTCAAAGTTCTTTGCTACTTCTTTCTGACTCTTTTAAGTTTTGGCAACAGTACCATGTATATTTCTTTAGGCCACTGTTCAAAAACCTGGAGATCATAGATCAAGTAGTAAAGGCCATTAGACTTATCCTTGATATCTGCTCTGGTTTTCTTTGCAGTTTTGTTAATACAACCATTTCCTTTTTAAATAAGAATGAGCACCCCTTGGTGAGTATTTATTACATTATTTCAAATGATTGCCAGTTCATTTTGACTAAAAAAATGCAAACCTTAGAAGAATACCTTTGGGTAATGGTTTATACTGAATATCACCTGATTTTTTTCTTAATTTGCCCATAGCAAAACAATGGAAAGTGAAGCATATAAGGCTAAGCTAGATGCAGGGGATGCAGGGTAAGTTTACTACAGTGACGTAATCCTGCTTATCAGAAAGGAAAATGTAGATAAAATGCAATCTAAGTGTTAAAGAGTTTATAGTCATATGGAGAATAGGTTAGTTATAGGTACATGAAAAGAAAGAGACCTTCCTTTGACACCATGTACTCATTGCTCACCCTGTTTTGATTTTAGGAGTTTAAAGTATAGAATGAAAATATTGGACCACGTATATTTTGTATATTCTGAAACTTTACTATAAACTTACTCACTTGCAAGAGAATGCATGCAACATTTCATAATGACAAATACATAGTTATGGCTCTGTTTAAAGTATCTCTCTATCTTGGGCAAATAAATCCGTTTGCAACATATCTGACTAATAATTAACACATATGGAATGTTCCTAGAAAACCATAGTCTGCAGCTTCCTGTTCAGATTTTTTCTGATCGGTAACTGAAGGTACTACACTACAGTGAATGAACATTTGATTATAAAGTGAAGGACAACGAGCCTCAAAAAAGACTGCTAGAAACACAAGAATGTGGTTCAAAATTCAGATCTTGCTCTTATATTTCATTGCAAGTGAAGTTTCTATGGCAAAGCTGCTGGACTCTAAAAGAAATTTTTGGAGAGGACTTTACTCTGTAGAAGACGGCGGTTTTGCAAAGTGGAACAGGATTAAAAGGAATCTGTATCAGGGAAGGTCCTGCAGGGTACGAGGCTGTTGCACAGGAAGAGATGATGACTGCAGCTTTAATATCGTCTCCAAAGCAGCTGTATGTTACTGTGACCAGTACTGCACCTCAGGTTCTCCTGGCCCTGTGGACTGTTGTGCTGACTATTGGGATGTTTGCGACCACCCTGTTGTGCCCACCAGGTCAGATGAGCCTTGGCCACCCCCAGCATCAGGTGGGTAGAAAGAAAATACTCAGTTGGCTTTAGTGCATCACAATGAAAATATACATGGAAGTAGAATTACTGATTAACCTTTAGATAGTATACATCCTCAAATTATTGCTAAAGACATAGCGGAGAAAGTATGAGACTGGACTAAGAATTGTACTTGCTGTTACGTCTTTGTCTCTAGAGACATATTTTTAGCATTGGTTTCATTATATTTCTCTTGGGCAGAACCTCTGGTTTACTTGAAACCTCTGAGAATAACCTCATTGGGTCAAAATCAGTGTAATCTGAACAACTTCAATAGAGCTTCACAGATGAAATAAACAGCAAGCTCTAAATATTTGCTTCCATCAGTACAAATAAATTGTCAAGAAAACTGAGGATTATCCTGAATGATGCTACTCTGAGGTATTCTGCAATGGTTTTGATCCAGCATAGCTTTCCTGTAGGACATTATTTTCCCTGCAACAGCTCAGACGAAGGAATAATTTAAGGAATATGGTTAGAACAAGGATTTCTGACATGCTAGTCAGTTCCTTACTAATTAGTTTGCACTGTAAGTTCCTCCAGGACTAGTCTAAACTGAGTCTAATTGTTTTTAAAACTAGAGATTGCAAAAAAATGATCTGCAAACAGCTAGTCCTTCCTCGGCTCCTGCACAGGCCAAATCTCTGCTGGTGAGCAAAATCTAGTATTGTGGATTTTAAGACTATGTAGCTTCTTACTGTCAGTAAACCAAATCTGGCTAAAAAATGTACCAAAACTTCAGAAGTCTAAAATAAAAAAAAAGAAAATACTACCATGACATTTTAATATTAAATATTTCTGTGCAATAATTTTACTGCTTGCATTCCAGCATTCTACAAGAGGCTATGCTCTTAGACAGGCATAAATCTGCAACCAAAATGTGATAAGTGGAGTGACAGGAATGCTGTAAAAAAAAATTTTATTTTCCAGAGAGTTTCTATCTATCTCAAAGAATGTTCTGTGATTCTCTGTAAATTAAGACATTTGTTTCATATTTGTTTGATGCAGTTGTGTATATTATTTTGAACAGATCATGGGGTTGTAAATAAATTCTACATAAATATGTAGCTGCATTTCTGCTCCAGAGTAGACAACTTGCAAGTCTCCTTTGGCAAACTGTCTCATGGAATCGAATCACTAGACAACCTGCAGCAGGTTGCCATGTGGGCACTGCCATATGTCTACCTTTCAAAGGTAGAAGTGTAACAGAAGGTTTAGATAAGGCAATAGGTGAGGGTTAATACTTTTACTGCTTTCTTAATCCAGTTTTTTGCATTTATGCTCACTGTTTTGTAACTCCTGGGCTGTACATACCTGCCAGAGGTAAAAATTATATTTATTCAATCTCCTTCATTTGTCCTATAGATGATGTTATAGCATTGTATTATATGTCATCTCAGAAAATAAAAAATGCAGTTTTTCTGATAGAAAGTCTGTGTTCTTCTAAAATCTGTTTATTGGATATTCATTATGTACATAATTTAGAGGGTAAAATGAGAATAATAAAGCCAAAATACAGCAAGAAAAAAACCAACAAACAAAACCAATGCTAAAGGAATTTTCTAGAACAAGAATATCTGAAAAATTGGAACAAAAAGAAGGAGAAACAAAAAGGCCTGAATGCCTGAAGATTAAGCAAATTAGGAAACATATTTAGAAATTACTTAAGTATATTATCTGGCTTTTAGCAACTGAGACTACACATCTGCCTTAGGCTAAGAATTATTTAAGCACTTGAAGACCATATATGCCAAAGTACTTCTTACCTGGAAGATTTTGATCTTTTGGTTGCCTGTGGTTTTGCTTTCAGTGCTTCCTGAGTCATATTTCTTTAAATAAAACAATAAACCTAAGTGTTTTACATGGGCTGGAATGTACAGCAATAAAATTGTTCAGTGCTGTATTTCTGGATACCCACATATTCACTAACGTGGTGTACAGTAGAAACAAGCTACAATGTGACTTCTTCCATGGGCATGCACCATGCTGAGGGCTAGTCTTGATTTAACTGTCTAGAACTGCTTTGACTTTGCCTTTATGAACCAGAGTTCAGTATGTTTCAATGGTTTTCATGTGTAGTTTCAGAAGAAAGTGCACATTCCTGCCTTAGATACCAAATAGAAGTTCAGGATTTTTTTATTAGTAGTATTTCATTGTTTGCTCTTAGAAGAACTGTTTGAGTTTTATCTCTGGACTGTACTTATTAGTTATTTTGTCTTTCAATTATTCTGATGGTACAAAAAACCCCTGTCAGAACCCACACACTGGAACTCACCCTGTCAACGGTGTAAAAGTGGCATCCAGAGAGTTTGCTAATCACTGTAACGTGAAAGTCAGGATCTGACCTTCGAGGGAGTAAACCTGAAGACATTTCCCTGACAGAATTGCTCACATCAATGTTGGAGGCAAATGTAGTAAGAGCTGTAACATTATCAGAATGCTGGACTGGGAAGGAAGTCACTGTTAATCAAATGCTCTTCAGCCACAATTTTCACATCATAAAATCCTATCCACAAAGTCATTAAGCTATATTCAAATTAATTAATTTCCCACTTAATATATTAATATTCCAAAATAAAATGTTCAGGGCCAGACAATCTCACTGTGTTCTCATGTGTGTTTTAGCTTAGATATCTCTGCGCTCTGCCACTGATGCTGCAGGCAGCGCTCCTGGCCTTCTAAATATTAATTTGACTAGGCTAAAGAAATTGCATGGTGTTAATCTTCAATTCCCAAAGCATACATCATCATTAGAAAGCTGCTTCTGTACTAGTCCAGGTTTGCATCTTATCTTGGGCATGGGTGGTGAGCCCTGCCAGCACAGCTTTAGTGAGGCTCTGTCCAGTCACTCAGATGCTGCATCAATACTTCCTTCTCTCTGTATTTTTGAAATACCTTGCTTGAGGCCTCCTTCCAGCTACTGTCTGATGCTGACTTCGTGGCAGACTATGACAAACTGACACTTCTGTAACTTGCTTTGAGTATTCTCTGAAAAATATCTCCGATCTTACTGAAATTGAATTAGAGCAGATACTTTGGGCCTCAGACTGCTTAGGTGGGATTTATTTCACCTCTGCCTGTGCTAGCTATCGTAGCCTGCTGAATAGGGAAAGAAAGACACTTAGAGTTAATTTATCAAATCTAGTCTACTTCTGCACATTGTTGTAAAATTAAGTGGGGCTTAGAGTGCACATTTATCTCCTACCAGTGAAGCAAACGTATGTATGTATGTCTGGGCAGACAAATTCCAGCCCTTGCCATGAGAGGGGATGGCCTTCCTTACACAAGGTGGGAAAAAAAGCATGATACTACGCAAATTTGCAAGTCAACACTACCTTACAGTTTAAGTTTCTTGAAAATGGAGAAGAAAGGAGAACTTGGGGGTTGTGACTCCAATCCCTCCCAGTGGCAGAGGGAACGTGATCTCTGCATGCTTACCTTTCAGAACAGGCTGGAAAACAAAGACCCATGTGATACATGTATAATGTTTGTTACTGACTCAACCTAAAACCCTCTGCAGGCATTCTGAATCTTCCTTTTACTGAAACTTGACAATCAAATGCACTGATGAAACAGGTTATGTGGAAGACCTTAAAACGCACACAGAAACTTTTCTCAGTGAAGTGTTATCAAACAAAAGAAATAGAAAGGACGTATTTGGAAAAATCATCACTCAGTTTAGGTTTTATACTGGGTTTTGGAGAGTGTGTGAAACATACATTTGCCTTGAAATATAATTAATCCGTCTGTTTTTCAAAGAGGAGTTATTATGGCAAGGAAAAAATATATTGCAATAGGTTTGGAATATTCCCTACATTTTTATATTCTATACTGGAAAACCTTATTTCTACTTCAGTTGCCTCATACAAAATAATTTTTATTAGAAATATTTTCTTTTTATTACTGGAAAAAAACTTTATCTGAAGATTTATTTTTTTATTTACATGTAAGATGGTAAATTTTTCAGTGGGTGTTTCAAATCTGATGCTGATTTTAATTGCTATGAATGGTAATGTATTTGGTAAAAAATTAAAATACATTAACCTGCCTTCATTACTTGGAAGAAACTGGAAATAGATATTGCTGACTTTCAACTAAATAATTCAAGCCTACTACATGCAACAAATTAATTCAATAGTAGCAAGAGTTTTGAGTAATTCACTTCAAATATTATTTTTATGTCATTTTTACTCATCTATATGTTATATTGACAGGTTGTTATAAAGATGGCCGATATTACGGAGAAGGAACAATAATTAAAGACAACTGCAATTCCTGGTAATGTTTCACAGAGCAGCAAATTGAATTTTATCTAGCATGTGTTATGAAACAGGAATTATGGTAGAGAGCATCCTTAAATTCACATTAAATATGTAATCAAATCAAAATGGCTGGAAGAGCAGTGCCAAACATTAAGGTTTTGTGAAAGGAAATTACAGCAAACTTAGAAGAATGGCAAGAGGGAAACCAGGCTTTCTAATCAAGATATGAATATTAGACTATTAAAATCTCCTCCTCACTAGCTTAATTCTGTTCCTGCTCAGTCAAATCTGAGTCAAAATTATTTCAGGCTACACCTGGCGTTGACCTGAATGCAAACAAGAAAAGAATCCTTACAGTTTGTGGGATTCTTCCTCTGGTTCTTTCTTTTTTTTTTTTTTTTTTCCCCCTGAGTAATGTGACCTTATATTATTTCATAAAGGAAGGATATATATATGTATATTTATGTAGCAAAAGGGTGAACTGTTTTAGCATCCCTTTCTTGCCTAGGGACAGGAGCAGATAGCCCATGCAGAGGAGCTCAGCTGTCTGAGCCGCCTCCCTGCTTTGCCTCTTCAAAAACCAGCCCTGCACCTCTACCCCCAGGACATCCCAGGGGGCTCCAGCAGCACCCAAACAGAGCTGGGGCTCCCACTACCCTGACTTTAGCCCAGGGTCCTTGGAGCAAGTTGTCTGTGGCCACATGGCTCCTTTCTGGGTTTCCAGAGTGAAATTTCCTCATAATACCTCAATTTTGAGGAATTCAATATCAACGATAAAGGATGTTGCCTTTTTTTCCCCTGGTTTTGTCTCACAAAGAAGGAAGCAATATTTTTCAAATATGACCTTTTCCACAAGCTGTAAACTTTCCCACCTTGTTCCAATTAGGATTCATTAGGTAATGAAGCAGGAAGAAGTGGCATTATGTTTTCATAAATACTATGTGACAATTATATTGCTTGCAGTTTTTTTATTGATGTCCCTTCTGCTGCTGAAGTGCACATTTCTCCTTTGACAATTCATTTTTTGCTCAAACATATTCTTGTCCTTTCAGCAAATGTTTCAACAGCCTCTGGAAATGTTCAGCAGATGTATGCATTGTTCGCCAAGACTTAATTCAGCGCATCAATTCTGGAGATTATGGGTGAGAACCCTTTAATGTTAAGGTTTTATTATAAATCACTGTATTACTCATTGTATGTATGTGAAAATTACAAGTTATGCAGTCCTCCCTGCCCCTTCCTTCTCCAGTAACGTTACAGCAATTTGACAGTAAAGGCACACTTGTGAAACTCTCCTAAATAGCTGGCAGATTATAGAGTTTTAAATGGAAAGGTACTGAAAGTCTCATGCTGGTAAGAATTATTGTAAACATCTATCTAAAACATTCTTCAGACTTAGAACATTTTTTTTTCTCTCAAAACACAATTTACATCGTCTTCCCTTATTCTTCACATTATTTATTACTTGGGATAGATATATAAAGTAATTTTTTCTTCTCCCTTAAGAGCATTATTCTACATAACAGGACTCTAGGTAGTGTTGGAAGAGGAGAAAATGGGCCCAGTGAGGACCAAGATATCAGAACTTTGTGGGGCTTGCTTTTCTTGCTAAAAGTCTCATTTCCCTTAGATAGTGCACAGGGATTAGGGACACTCCAGTATTGGATCTGTGCCTTGGGAGTCTGACTGTTTACAGACAGAGATACAAGGATTGCCTCCCTATGATCTGAGATGCTAAATTCAACAATAAAGCCTGCCCAGATTTCAAGCTGTGATGAGTGTCAAAACAGTTTGTACGTTATGGGAGACATTCAAACCAACTGGATTAGGATAAACACCTAAGTAAGGCACCTGGTGCCCTTGCCCACTTTTGTGTTAGTGGTGAGCAGTGAGGTTTGCCACAGGGTGGTTAAGCCTACCTGAGATATGACTTGACCTCTCCAGGTGCTTGCATTTTCACTGACTACAGGGAGATCAAGAGCAATGAGGCTTCTCCTTTGGTCAAGATGAATACCATCTCCTTGTTCTTCATACACAAGCATGATAGAGACAAGTAAAGCGAATGCTCTCCCCTGTGACTCAGCTCTTATCCAATAATAAATTTCAGTGTGTTCCAAATGGATGTTTTTGCTAGTTGTACTATTATAAAGGAGCAATGTATTAATTTGAAGGATATCTCTAATGTGGGTTTTATTTGTCTGGTTTTTGTCTATGAGGAAGATGGAAAGCTGAGAACTACAGTCAGTTCTGGGGAATGACAGTGGAAGAAGGTTTCAGAAAGCGCCTGGGCACCTTTCCTCCATCTCATTCTTTGCTGAATATGAGAGAAGCTCCAGTAAGTGTCATGTGTACTTTTTTAATAACTTTATCACAAGGGAAAATAAATTTGTATGATTATAAGAGTGAGATTCAGAGGCTTGACACAAAATGCTCCCATGTTGTAGTTCGCAGAATAGTTGTACAAGTCATAGAGTATCTGGACCTAATGATGAAAACTGAACAAGGAGGAGCAAAAGCAAATGCTAACCACTGTGAAGCTCTGCACCAACATTAGTTTATCATCGTAGTTCACTTTAAGATGGTTCCAAACTATCCTCTCCATTTGCTAATAATTGAACACTTAACTGTAACCATAAAAAAGTGTATCTGGGCATAGTTCATTAAGACTAACAGCTGGGACTAAACGGCAATCTTTGAAATAAGCTGTGAAAACTTTTTGGGGTTTTAAATAAATGTAAAGAAAAAATTATGGGAATCATGGCAAAATGAAGTGATTCTCTGCTAACCAGCTTTTTAAAGCTTTTGGCTGTGACCATTTTCATGACAGCTAAATTAAATTTCCTATAATTTATTTATGCTCAAATTAGTTCTGCAGCAAAGCAAATATACTTTAAATTATGTAGGTAGGTTAAGCATTTTAAGAAAAAATGCAAGTTATTATATCCAGAGTGGATTTTTCAATGCTTTGGACCAGTTAGTTTCTCTTTCGGAAGACACAATTTATGGAAATCACAGGTTAAAAAAAGAAAAACGAACTAGCTCACCATAGTGAAATTAGAAAAATTGCAAGTATAAACAGATAGATACAAGGTTTACAAAGACATTAAATATAACAGGTTTTTATCTTTGGCTTCGATATAGTTCAGACAAGTGATGCCATTTGATTATCTATTAAAAGTCAATCGTTGATCCTTGTATATGTGTTGTGGCAGAAGGGTTCCACATCACGGAAGGCCATGGGGGGAGAGCAGTGCAGAGCTACTAACTGGCAGGGAATTTGGGAAAGAAGAGTATGGATTCTGCAACAGTTTTAGCAATCCTAACCATTTTTTTTTGATGCAGACTCGTTCTTTGTCACACACAATATCAGCTCCCTGCACCAGCATGGCAAGGCATTGGGGCTGGGACCCAGATTGGCCACCTTGATCAAAATTACACTGTGAAGTTCCAAATTTCCCTGATTTTGTCCCCTTCTAGGAGGCGGTTTTCTAGAATATCTAGAAGAACATAATATTTTTAGTGTCCTTGTGCTGCCTCCAGAAATTTCTTATAATTTCCCATATATTAATATTGCACAACAAAATATAAAAATTACAGTTTTCTTTACTTAGAGGCAGCTCCATATCTACTACCATTGCACAGTCCAACAGTTTCAAACCACGGATTGGGCTTACCAGGTGTACATTAGTAGACTCTTGCAGCTGGCAAAACAGCAGCAGCCACAGAGTTAACTTCCAGGCATTTTTTAAGGCAAGTATTTTATCAGATTTTCAGAGACTCTTGACCCTTCTTCTCCTTCCATGAATAATTTTCTGTCACTGATATTTTGTGAAGCATACTAACACATTTACAAAGTCCTAAGTGATGAAAAGCTAGTGAGTTTGGGTGAAAATGTTTCTGTTAAGCTTCACCTGTCACTAGATGACAACTCAAAATGGAGTATAAGAGATATAAATGATGATGTTTAGAAATAATAACTTTTTAATATTTTTCAGAGACACTTAATTGTTTGACCTTTAAGAGACTTTGCTGAGTACTAATTCATCTGCAGGCCAATGTACTAGTTACTTACTGTGGATAAACTGGTACTAATTAAACATTCATGCATTCTCTGGGATTATTACTGTCTTTTCCATTTTACAAGTGAGAAAACTGCAAGTCATTTGCCCAAAATCACATATTTAGTTGATCATCATCAGCTAATGTAAAAAGAAAACCATAGGTATCATTCATTAAATACAACTTTTTTCCCCTTTAATTAAAAACCATTTCTTCAGCATGCTGCTGATCTACTATTTAAGGAAAAAAAGATGGCTTCTGGTACATATGGGCCTATTGTTCTGATTTTTTTCTACTGTCTTTTGGGGTAGCATTGAAAAAAGCATTTTTATTTCGAAGGGGTTCCTTACTCAATTGCATGGAAAAAAAAAATGCAAGAATGATCAGCTTTTCTGTCTTAACAACTTCACATCTACAGCCCAGTCTTAATTCTCAGCAGTGTTGAAGAGTTTGGATGTGTAATAGGGATGTTTTAGTTGTTTTTTGACTGTCATATCAAACTGCAAATACAACTTCATATCCTTAATTCAAACTGAACAGTGTGACAGAGCTGCATTTCATCTTAGGGAAAACACAAACTTCTTGAAATCACTCATAGAGCTTTTAAAAGGTCTGCTATTAACAAAAGACTATACCTGCTCAATAAGGTGATGCTTATGTCTGGGAGGGAAGTTTAATATGGTGGCGCTTTAGAATACCTAAAAGACAATGATATAGAGCAAGAACAACATTTCCTACATTAAGAAAAAAAAAAATTTCTTTCCCTCAGAAAACTGTTTCCACATTTGCAAATTCAGTTACCTTTGGCCTTTTTTCTCTCATAGGTCATCTAACTTTTCTGAAGAAGTCATAGTTGAAATTTGAGTGCTCTTTTATATCCACTTACCTTCCTGCTTTGGCCAGGCTGCTAGGCTTCACTGCAGAGAGTACACATGAATGTTTAAAAATAGTTCACCAGTCATTTTGCTGATTGCTTTGTGCTGTCTGATGCTGGTCCATGGAGCATACCTTGAGAAACAATGGTCTAGACATAATATTTGTCACAGAGCAGCAGCGCTTCTCAATATCAGGGTAACAATTTCTCAGACAAAAAGCCAATGTTTCTGGCTACAGGTCAGTCCTGGATTTCTAAATGACAAGGCTGAGGGTTAATGTGGGATTTGTTCTGGGATTTACAACACGAGGCTAATAAATACACTGGCAGGAGTTCAGGAATATATAAAGTAACACATTATCATAGGCTGAAGATCTGTTTAGAATTTTGCTTTTCTCAGCTTTCTCATTTGTAGCATTTTAAGCAGCCATTGCCCACATAAGTGTGCTAAACAACATTTCCCAAATTTTGCTTGTTTGCTAGTAGTGAGCAGTCTCATCATGTAAATGAAATTCTATTTGTCTGGGATTTCTCCTGCCTGTTTTGTCTTCAAAGTAAATCTTGAGCTTGTGTCTGTTTGCTAAAAATGAACATGATGATAATTTACAAAGTTATTCTGTAAGTTAGCTTCTGTTTCCTGAGTGCCATTGGATGTTGCAAGTCCCATGTATATAAAACCATTTTAAAAAGCAGACTTTTAAAAGTATTAACCAAAATATCGAGATTAATATTTTAGCAAGGGTTAAAAAATTGCTGGCTTGTTATGGGTGGAGGTGAAACTTTCAAAATCATTGAAATGACTAGACAGATTGTGGTATACTTTAATGGATTCAGGACTCACAGCCTGCATCTAACTTATTGAACCTGGAAGCAGTAGGTCTGGGCATACACACAGACTTATTGATCTGCCTGTTGGGGCTGTATCCCAACCTAATATCGGATTGATTGTACCTGAGGTACAAGCTTCTTGTTCCTTACCCACTTCTCAGCTGGGGATTTTCTGTGGTGAATCCAGGTGTACAAGCTGGATGGAGGCACTGCCATTACACAGTGGGCAGAAAAAAGTGATCTTGATACAAGCAAAGTGGTAAAATTGGTTTCCTCAAAGAGTTCTAAAATAGTTTGAAAGAGAGGGCCTCAAATGTTTCAATCATCTTAGCAAAAGGTATGTAGTTTTATAAATCACATAAGCACTTTACAAAAATGGTGCAGCAAGGACACACAGAATTAGAAGATAACTAAATTGAAGTAAAATAACAAAGGAATTTGAACAGGATAGAAGCCATTGTGATTCAAGATTTCAGCCTGCTTATGAGAAAGAATCATCAGTGAGCATTTTGCTCATGAACAGATTATTATGTTTTGTGCATTTTATTTCTCTCTGGAATTGATGCTATCCACAATTTTTTGAGACAAACTGTTTGAATGGACTAATAATGCAATTTTCTGTAGCCATTCCTATTTCCCTTCTCAGCAAAACCAACCATTCCATAAATTTCAACAGATAAAAATATAGGTCAATGGCTCTGATACACTGAACACAGAACAGACTATTAACAGTTGTACCAGATGGTTCTTGTATATGCAAATATTTATTCAAAGCTTGGAGGACTTTGGAGGTAGACATAAATTAAGGCTGAGAGATGAAGGTGCCAAAAATGGCTGGCCAAATGACTTTAGTGAGCAGACTGCAAATTTTCATTAATTCACCATCAGATTGCAAAACAGAAGGAAAATCACTGATTTTTGTTCTGGAACAAGAATAAGTGCTGAAGATTGAAAAGCCTGTGCGTAAAAGACAAACCAATGATACTCTGTACCAATACCTCTCTCACAGGGACTAAAATTCCCTACCTACAGCCACGTGCCAAGGAGAACGGGGTAACAGGTATTGAACTTCACAGCTATTCATAGCAGAAGGCTTTTCTTTCCAGAAATTCCAGCTGGGTCACACTTAGCATATTCCATAGGGAATTGTTGTTTGAGACAAAACTCCAAGAGAAATTGGACAGGTTATTCAGGTTGGCAGTCATGGAGCTCAGCTTTCCAGCTCAGCTTTCCAGCTCAGCTAGTGGAGCACCAGACTGCCCCTGCCCTCAGGGGGTCCACAGCATCCAGCCACGGGGTAACCACCTCAGAGTTGCTTGGGAAGCCACAGGTGTCAAAGCTTTAGGTTTCCTCAATTTAAAAATTAAGAATTTTATAAACAAAATTACTATAAAATTTAATATAAAAATATGAATTGAGGCATATACAGATCTTCTACATTTTGCTTTAGGGAAAGTCACTTCCAGAAGAAAAGTTTCCTGCAATTTTTTCAGCCACTTATGAGTGGCCTGAGTGGATTCATGATCCTTTGGATCAACGAAACTGTGGAGCATCCTGGGCTTTTTCAACCGCAAGTAATATGAATTTTTTTCTCCCTTTAAAAGTATCACTGATGTTAGATATGTAAAGAAAATGTTATGGTGAATAGTGATTAAACAATGTCATCTTGCTTTTAATTTTTTATTAGCAAGTAAAAATATTTGAAATTGCTACAACTTTCCCTCTATCTTGTCCCAAATTCTTAAACAGTCAATCTAAGCTGCAGCTCTTTGCTTGATTTTCATAAGATTGTGTAACATAGGGAGAATTTTTTTGTGACAGAAGGTAGAAAATGAATTGACTGATGCACTTTATTGTAACTAGTAGAGTAACTTTTTTAACATAAAAAATCTGCATCCCTTGTCTGTGCAACTACATGCTCGACTTGAAATCTTAAAACAGGTAGGCTTCAATTTCTTTATATGTATTTATATATTTCTGCACTTAACAGTGTCCAACCCTTGCTACTTAAATAAATTGGGTATAATATTTTCAAATTTTATTAGAAGAAAACCCTGAAACTGCTCGGATATTAGTGGAAAAAGCAATCTTTCAAATTCTGTAAGCAATATCAGTAATGCAATTCACCCTCATGTGCTACAATCTCTGGTTTTATGAAAAGTGGACACAATGGTCACTTTCTCCAAAGAAGCTAAAAAAATCGCCTATGTATATTTTTCTTGCAATAAATCTCAGTGTGTATTGGGTTACATAAAGTTAGAGAAAAAAAATTGTGCTATCAATCTTTATGACTTCATTTGGCCACTGGGTCCTCATGAGTGCAGATTTCTGCAACTGCTTCTTTAAATCACAAAAGTAACAGAAGGAAAGGAGCATTTAGGCCAGCTAACCCCAGTTCTCTAAAAAAGCCAGACTGAACACACTTTTTTCCCTGTACTGCCCACTGCAGTTTCAAAAAAGAGAAAACCGAGAGAGCTTTTAACAGCTCTACTGACAGATTACTGCAGAGATGTACAGAGATCACGGAGGGAAAGACTTCCCAGATATTACGTCTAAATTTTCCCTTTCATAAACAAATCTTTTAATTTTAGTTCACATTATTATTTTCAAAGCTAAATATTATAAGATGCCTTTCCATGTTGTTTAGGTGCGTCTAAAAATTTTTAATTTTTCTTTGCAAGATTAATTGTTGTTCAATGAATAGAAAACCATTGCTGTATAATTTTTCTTATCATGACTAATTTCTATAACTATTCCAAAACTATTCAATAGAAGACTTTTATACCTATGAAAATAAATTATCATGTGACACCTCACAAAAGCACAAAACACAGTTGTCACCTGCCATGAGCAAATTTGCTTTTCTGAAGTCTTGCCCCAAATTCACCAACGTTACTCTTGATTTTGATGGAGCCTTAGATTTCAAGATATTTTTTAAAAATTTATTTTCAGGCTAAAAAATAAGGGGCTAAAAGTAACAAAAATATAATTTAATCACAGGTAATGACTGGGATTGGGGCTTCATGGTTGTTTCATCATCTTTCAATAATATAGTAAAAGTAGCTTATGTTTCAACCACAGCTTAGTTAACCTAGTCTGCCTTTAAATCAGTGCATAAATATATAAGTACTAAGAATTATTACTATCTGAATTCAGACATCTAAGTTCTATCTCAGAAGAAAAAATTTTTGTGATAAGGGAAGTACAAAGAATACTACATTTACACTTTAATATGAACATTCTTTATAATAAAAACAATACATATTTCCAGTCTTGAATTTTCTTCTTCAAAGGACTGTTAATTTTTGCTTCCCCCCCTCCCTCCCCAAATAAAGAAAAGAAAGACATAAAAGAAAGTGAAGAAGTGTAGAGACTCAGCTGCAGAGAGATGGGGAAGTATTTGCATCTTCTGCTGAAGAAAACCAGATATGAGCGTGTGCATTTACAAACATCATAGAGACTATCAGACTAGATTATGTCAATATCTTGTCTGATTTTAGATATGTAGGACTTTAAAATAACCAGTAAAAAAACTAGGGATTTGTAATATTACAGCAAAGTTGCTCATGATGCTTTGCAGTTTAATGATCTTCTCTCTTGAAAGTATGTGCAGATTATCTTGGTATTGTTTAGTGAAGATATACACAGGCAAAAAATACTGGGATCATATTTCAGTCCTTTTTCACAATGACAAATGTGAAGTTGTGAGCAATTATTTGGGTTTTTTATAAAAGAAAATTTATTTCAAAACAGGTGTTGCAGCAGATAGAATAGCAATTCATTCCAAGGGTGAGATCACAGACAACCTTTCTGCTCAGAATTTGATCTCTTGTGATACCAGGAATCAACATGGATGTAATGGTGGAAGTATTGATGGTGCTTGGAGATATCTGAAAACACACGGGTAAATATTTTATCTAGCTGTTTAGATTATTTTAACTTGAAACAGTTGTTAAGTTACAATAAGATAATACTGTAAGTGGACTCAAAACTTCTGTGGTTCTTGGGATACAGATTCTTAATGCTAAACAACCTTGAGTTAGCATCCAGTTGCATGAGACCACATTGTGAGTATTCAAAAGAATCAAACTTTTTTTCTCTAAAAAGCAAACTCTAATCATCTTATCCCAAGGTTTACTTCAGAATGCAACACACTATCAAGGACTGTACCTAGATCCTTCTTCCTTCAGGGCAGACTAAGCACTGTTAACAGCTGTCAAATTCCACACAGAGAACTAGAGTCTTTTTAAAAATGTCATATAATCATTTATAGACTCACAGAATGATGTAGGTTGGAACTTTTGAAAGCCACCTAGTCCAATGTTTTTCTCAAAGCACGATTAGGAAATTAGAACAGACTGTTCAGGTCATGCCCCTGAACACATTTTGAGTGTGGATTATGTATCCACAGCCTTTTCTGCAGGAGGTCACTTTGTTTGACCTCTCATAGTCAAACACTTTTTTCTTATATCAGCATTTTCCTTGATACAACTTGTGACTGGTACCTTTCAGCTTTTCACTGTGCATCTCCAAGAGTTTTGCTCTGTCTCCTCAATAGCTCTCTTTATGTAGCTGAAGACAGGAATTAGATCCTCTTTTGGCTTTCTTTTCTCTGAACTGGACAAGTCCAGCTGTCTCAGCCATCTGAGTTCCAGTCCCCTAAGTGCCTTCCACTGGACTTGCTCAGTTTATCAATGTGTTTCCTGGAGATTACATAACTGAACATATTCTTCTATCTTCGTAGTAGTAATTTGAGGGGAGTAATAATTTTTCCCAATGTCTTGGCTATGTTCCTGATAATACAGCCCAGTATTGGTTGTCCATGTTTGTGAGAGGACTTGCTGCTGACCTACATTCAACTTTCTCTTTCTCAGGACCTCGTATCCTTTGCTGTAAAACAGCTTTCTACACAGGCAGTGCCCTGCCAGTACCTGGGCAGTTCTGGCTCAGAGGCAGGATTTGCCATCTGTCTTTGCTGAACTTCTTGATATTTCCATCAGCTCATTCCTCCAGACTATGAACACAGCTATGAATGGCAGTTGTGCATACTAATCACTCCCCTCCAGTTTTGCATTCTGCACAAACTTGCTAAGGGTGCCTTACATCCCACTATCCAGATTGTTAACAGAGATGCAAAAGTGTTGCTTTTGTGTTGACTCCTGAGGAATGCCACTAGGAAACAGGCATTAGTCATTCTGATCTGTCAACCTTTCAGCATGCCAGTCCACAACTGACCTTGTAAGCAACTCACCTGATCCAATAAACTAGAGGAATACCACAGGAAACCATGCTGAAAATGTTGCTAAAGGCATGGTAAATTACATCTACTGCTCTTCTTATTCTCCACGGAACCAGTCATTTCATCATGGTCAGATCATCTCATCGTGTCATCGTTACCTGTCACGGTAAATCTGCGCTGCCTGTTCTCATTCAGCTCCTTAAAATTTGTATGCCTGGAAGTGGCTTCTAGGAGAATTTCAATAACCCCATTTTATACATGATATAATTAAATCCTGATGGTTTTCACATTAAAAGAATTTTTTTTGTCCTTTCTGTTCTATACCAAAATCAATTTCCTCTCTCGTTTTCATGCAATATCATCCCTTACTCTGTCTTTAATATATCTGAAACTGGCAGACAGAGAGATCTCAGGTGTGGTCTCTGTCAACTTTTAATTTAGGTAAAAAACAAACAAACAAACCAACCATGGCAAGAGCAAAAGGACATCAGATGTGATGCATCTTAGTTGACAAGGCAACCTAAGGATCCAGATGAAGACCTGTCATTCATATAGACACAGTGTACAAGCGATCATTCTGCTTTCTGCATCTGTATCAAACTATTTCTGATCTGACAAAGATTTTGTATAGTTATGGGGAGAGTTTACATCAAGCACTCCTTGGTCTTTCTCTCTCAGGGTTTAAACCCCAAACTAGTTTTGATCTAGGTTTTGAGCGGGAGACCCTTTAGGTGAGTGATTCTATCCAGGAAAGGCCATTCAGCACCTCATGGGAGTAAAGGCAAAGGCTTCATTTATGAGAAATGAAAGTTCTAACTTGACATTTAACTGTAAACACTTTTTAACAGCAATAATTTTCTGTAACTAGAAGAACAATCTCCTTTTAATCAGTAGCTCATGCTCTTAGGAAAGTAATTTCAACTCTCTCTCACTGGACTGTTTGCTTGCCTGTTAAGGATAGGAGCTCAAGAATTGGTGGTGTAGATAAAAGAAGAGGTGAGGTTAATTTTCATGAGCATTATCTCTACAGCAGTTGGAGCAAGTTATTTTTAGAGGAAAAGTTGTAAAGAATGCAGCAATAGGACAATCTCCTAATCTTCTATTCCCTCTAACTGTTACCCCTCTATGGGCATAACCATCACAAGGCCATAATAAGATTCTTCCTGTACCAGCAAGTAGTATTATTTTTATCGTCAGCACTGTAGTTAATGACACAGACTGTTCTATAGAGGCAGAAGCCTGGAATCACACAGCCACAGCAGCTCAGCTCACCATAGCACACCTGTGAACGGTCTTTTCACCTCCACAGCCCCAAGTACTTGCTTGTGGCTCAGCCTCATGGTATTCACCAGGCTCTTGCAGGTGGCTGTCTGAGTAAAGAATCTGAAGGGGAGTTTTGAGAACCATTATGAATTTTTTTGGAAACTATCTAAATCTCTGCTAAATCTCAACAAAACAAGATTATTTTCTTTTAATTTATTAAGCTTTTTTTCCCCATGGAGCTAGCTCTAACATGTACAACATCACTGTGCTATGACAGACCTTTGCCTGGTAGCCATTCTTATCCCAAGCCATTGACGTGCCATCAAAGTACCACACGAGAAAGTATTTCTACTTAGGTGTTTTTATAAACGTTTGTATATCCTGATTTTCTTTCCTCAAGTCCAAATGATATTTCAGATTCTCGTCCAGCCGCTCCAGACACAAATCAACATCTCAAGTGAAACATCCAAATATCTTTGAAAACAGATACTAGAAGAACATAAAGAACAGCTATGCTGGGTCTGAGCAAGGGTCCATCTAGCCCAGTATTTTGTCTTTGACAATGGCCAAGAGCAAGTAATATCAACAAAAACAACAAAACTTTTTGGTTCACTGGACTGATAATTGAATAATTTTTGTAGCTAAACCCACAAAATGCATAACCCTTTACCTCTGACAATGAAAAAAATGGAAATTTATGGCATAAAAGTCTGAAGTGTCTTTTGAACAACCCCTGTTAAATAGTGCTTGCTTCCTCACGATTTCAGGCAACTTTTATTTTCATGAGCTATTATATTGCAATCATTTTTTCATTATCTTCATACTGTGCAACAGGGAGAAAACACATTGATTTTCTGTGAGGGCTTGTAAATTTCCACAGCAGGCTTTCAATGCTGTTTTAAAGTTTCTAGTTTTCTGATTTCTGAAGTGTGCTTATCTCAGGTTTTTGGCAGATGTTCAGAAAAATTGAGTGCTGGCATAAACTGTCCCCAGTGAAGTCAGCAGCAGACTTCCATAAAGCTCAGTGTGCTTAAGCTAGTGCTTAGACCTGACTTTTCAGAATCACTGAGTACCTGATTAACAGTGAAATCTGCTATAAGAGGAGCTGAAACACTGTTTAACTCTCACTCTTTCTCTCTCCTACTTCCTTAATTAAAGAATAAATATGTATTCTGTTTCTAATTATTATTAATTTTAGGTATTTTAGTTACAAGTCATAATTTTGGAGAAATCAATGTTCTTTGAAAGCAGCTATTTTAACTACTAAGGGAAATTAGGAGGTTATGTTTTTCAAGAATGAGAAAGAAATGTTTCATTTTTGGGTGGTATGAAGGTTATACATGGATGCAAACATTGCTCTTAATCAGACTCTAATCTGATTTGTACCTTGTGCTCTTAGCCATTGCAGGGAATTAGAAAGATATTATTGTTATTTTTTTTTGGCCAACTTGCTAGTAATATAGTCTAATGTTTTGGATTATTTTTCATCTCACAATTCAAATATAAAAATGCAATAAAACCACAAAACCTTTCATTAGATTGAACACATAAACATGACTTCAGGTGAATTCTGCTAAGAATGTATGAACGTAATACAGAATTTTCCTGCTTCTCTTTGGATCCTGCTTGTTTCTGATGTTATTTTCATATATGTATATATATATTTTTGCACATAAACACATTTACATCTATTTCTGTTTTGATTCTATGACTCTTCCAGCAAGGTCTTCGCTTTGAAGTATTTTTAATGTTTACTGTTGTGCTGGTGCATCAGCTCATATAAACTCACATTTCATCTGTGAAAAAAAGCTGTGAAATTATGTTACAACTGCAGAATGTATGGTTGGTGAAAAGGTGACTGTTAGTTCAGAATGAGTAATCATGTCAGGATTACCACACAACTTCAGTGTGCTACTGCATCTTTTGGTGTTTCACTTCTATTGACATAGAAATAAGACCCATCCATGCAGAACCTGTGGAAAGTCCACTGGGACAATCCAACTGAAAGGAGGGGGTAAAAAATCCCTACCTCAGGAAGGAATTTCTCCTCTGTTGTCTCCCTCTGAGGTGTTTCTAAGTACACCTGAGTGATAGGTGTCATACCATTCTTTTTATTGGGTTGCCATTACCTACTGCTGCCCTACCTATGCTAGATCATGCTCTAAGGACTCTATTTGCTCATCTTACTTGCCTTACAAGCCTGATTGCACTCAGTAGCAATCCTGTATTTGTTTTGGAAATCTATCATCTGTGCTGAAGTGAATAATTATGTATATAGGGATAGAGACATTTTATAAACATTTATAGATGCATACATATATAAACCAAAGATTTAGTTCTACCCAGCAGTAGAAACACAGCATAATAAAATGTAAAAATGACTAATAAAAACCTCTGTTGTTTTGGCCTAAATACTTCCCTTCTCCATTGAAAATCTGTGAATCTAGAACACTTTCAGATATTCAGAAGGGATTAAAAGGGTTTGTCACTGAGCAGATTGTAGACCTAAGCAATAAGAGCCTAGCAACTTACAACCTTAGGTGGACAATCCCTTTTCATCTAAGATGAATTACTTCTGAAGCTTCTGGTTGTGTGTGATCTAGTTGGGGCAGAAAGAATTCGATAAGAAAAAGACATTCTCCTCAGGATCATTTTTTTCTAACACAAAATGCTAATGGGGAAATGTTATGTCTTATTCAAAACAGCTGAAACATATATGGGCTTGTCTTGTAAAACTCCTGACAACTAAGTATATGCAGGCAAACATAATTATACTCCATATTGTGTAGAAATAGTTTTCCTCAGATTCAGAAAGTTCAGTACAATTGATGATTGTACATATGATACTTAAATACATACGGTTTTTATAGGACTACCTATTTTAAAATATTCTACTTCATTGAATTCTTTAATTATGCTCTTTAAAAAAACATAAGCTTCCATGGCATTAACACAGAAATGTGTACATTGTTTTGGAAATACCTAGCAGTATTCCATGCCCGTTTCACAAGCCATTTTTGCCAAATGAATCCCACTGACAACACTGGTAAGTTCTTGATCTTATTCCATGTGAACTTTCATGCATCATTAATGAGATGAGTGTACCAGGTGACAAATGCTAAGCCACTTTTTCTGCTTTATATCTCTTTGAAGAAGGGTTGGGAGAGGACTACTCTAATTGAAATGTAAGTATCATGTATGTGAGCTGAAGTAAATGCCAGCCAATTGAAGACATGGGTCATTCATACTTTTGAAGAGCATTACTTGAAATATGACAGTTGCAAAATAGTTAAAAGCTTGAAATAAAATGGCAAAAATGTTTAAGCAAGCTTCTTATCAACTTTTTTTTTTTTTTTTTTTTTTTTTAATATCTGGACAGGGTTGTGTCCTATGCTTGTTATCCATCATTTTGGAACAGTCATCTGGGACCATCAGCTGAAAATCAGTGTTATGTGTCAAGTGAATATGGAAAAAACTATACAAATGGGCCATGTCCCAATGCTTTAGAAAAATCCAATCGGTTATACCGGTGTGCCTCTCACTACAGGGTTTCCTCAAAAGTAAGTTCATGGCATGGTGTTCACCTGCTGTCTCAGTCATTTTACTCCTTTGAAGATTCAATATTATCTGGTATATTAAAATATGTTAACTTTACTTCAAGACTAGAGCTGTGATTTTTTCTTTATGTTGTCTTTGTATTCTCATAAGAGTTTAAATTCTTTACGATTTCTCTTTAAAGCTGACCTTTTGTGGTCCCATAAGAAAGTATGCAGTCATCATGGTGCACTATTGCTTCTTAAACATGTTTCTGAAGGTTTTGTTCATTTGGAAAACCAAATATTCTCTAGCAGAAATACAAGTAAAACGGTGTATTTATACTATGTGTATGTACACGATGATAAATTAGTATGAGTTTTAATTTTATTTAGTAAGTGTATTATCTTCCCTTGCCCTTTCTTCTGCTGCTCTCACCTCCTCTCAGGAAACTGATATAATGAAAGAAATCATGGACAAAGGACCAGTGCAAGGTATGGTAAGTTTGGAAGATGATAATGTTATTGAAATAATTAGACCATGGAATGACCTTTTATCAAAATATTCAAAACCAGAAATTACATGCCACAGTGAAGAAACCAGTCGTATGCACTGTAGTTCATTCAGGGGCATTTGGTGTGCAAGTAGTAGCCCTAAAGTCACCACTGCTGCATGAGAGTCTGTAAAGAGTGAAATGACCTTCAGCTGGATTTGCTGAAACTTTGTGCAAAATCCGTGTGCAGGAAATGTGCTTTTTTTTCAGTGACAGTTCTTCGGTCATCAGTGAAATTTTGTGGCTGTGTAGGAGGAATTAAATGTTAGTCAAGCTCTGCTCTCTAGGTCTGAGGTTGATTCCCCCACAAGCTAAGGCCAACCCACCAGGCATGCTCTCCTCTGATGGTAATGTTGCAGTGTACGGACCCTCCAGCAAGTCATTCAGTACTGAAATACCCCCAGGATTTTCTATTTCAGAACCTGAAGGCTCTTGTTGTTTGTAGAGGCTTATGAGTTTTGATTTTTTTCTGCTGAACTCTGCAATGAAGATCCCTGACCTCTTAGAGGTCAGAAATAAAGAGATTTCAACAGTGAGTGAGGAGCTGCAAAAAAACTGTTTACCCTGGGTACTGTCCATTTGTGGCAGTGGATGGTGCTGGCAGCAGGTGAAAATGCAGGTTCCTGCTCACACCCTCAGGCCAGTGTAACTAGAGAGGTTGAGGGATGTGGGGCTTGGGGTGATGGAGATAGGTCATAGTGCAGGATGTCCAGCTACACGGAATGGGCCAAAGGATTTTATTCAGGGGACTTCTGCATTTCTACTGCCTTTAATTATATAGGGATTTATTATAATCTCCAATTTATAATTGAAATGGTTTTGGTTATTAGATATAGGTAATTTTTGTGCATGGAGTGGAAAGGCTTCCTAAAGTTCTTTATGTGTGTAGCTGCAATTAATCTGAGGCTCACACTTACCAAGATCAACATCATCAGTAATCTTTTTGTTCTGTCCAAGTTTGTTTGCTCAAGGAATATATTCTTTCCCACCCTGCATTTGATCTAGATGCAAGGACAGTAATTTCTGCTATTTTTAAGTAAATGAAAAAATTAGAATCCTCAAGATAGAATTTCAGACCTCTCCTGAATATCACATTCGTAGTCTGTGTATACAGTTTGCTGGATTAATCTCTTAATACTGAGTGTTCTACATAAAATAATCAATATTCATCCATTTGTTAGGACTTAACCACTCAACAATTGATAGTTTTTGAAACGTCAATACTTTTCATGTATTGGGTCAAGATCTAAATAAGAGATATGCACTGAGAGTATGCACCGAGTGGAATCACTTTCCCTTTTTTTTTTTTTTTTTTTTTTTTTTTTTTTTTTTTTTTTTTTTTTTTTTTTTTTTTTTTGCTATAATGTGATTTTTAGATGAGTCACAGTTGCTAACCAATAATTTGTCACTGAATTCTCTCTTCTATATTCCCATATTACAAATGCAACCAAGGCATAAATCTAATATTAAAACCATATCATACTTTTTTTTTTCAAAACATCCTGCAAATGATCTTCAAATACTGAAGGAGGTTTTCCATTATTCATTCTCTTGTCATTCTTCAAGAACTTACAAATTGCTTAGGGCCAATCTTATCTAATGTGCTAGGTAATGTTTAATAGCTGGAAAACACTCAAAATTCTTTCAAGATCATGATGTCAAAAGTCATACTGTTTAATGATTAATGGACTTTGATTTTGGGGCATATTCAAAGTTAAGAAAAAATATTTTTTAACAACTTTGAAGCAGGAGATGTAGAAATGGAATTGAAAATTTTATATTATACAGCTTTCAGGTTAGAACGACAGTTTCTCTCTGACAGATGTCATTGTCTTATATGGCACAGGAACTATGCAATTAGCGTTTTCAGATGCAAATGATGAAATGCTATTTATTTTAGGAAATCTATTTTGCAACAAGCAAAGTGAAATTTTATGAATACTTTGAAAACATTTAAATCTAATATTGCCCATTCATTTTTTTTTTTAGTGGACTTTACGAAATACTCATTAGAGTAGTTATAGTGTTGATGTAGGAAAATTATCCTCTCTGACACAGTAGAATTGAGACACAGTCAGTCGCAGTCAAAAAGGAAAGCTTGCACATTATTGCAACACATCAGACTTTTGATCCCACAGAACTTGTTATTTCAGCTATCATGATCTTGGGAAAAAAAGAGGAGTTTTTAATTTGCTCGCATAAGAAAAAGACCAGGAGAAAACACTCAGCTACATTAATGTATAATGCTAAACTTTGCTTCTATTTGTAGTGACTAGTTTTAGTATCTTGTATCTTTGCATGTCTTAGAGACATAGGTCCTTATTGAACAATTTTATGCAGAGGAATCCATAGTGGAATCAATATTATAATCTGCTGCATCTATATGCATAGATATGATAAGCTCAACATGACTGAGGTAGGTCATGCATGAACTACAGTCAACCTTATAAAAATTGCTACCTATTCTGATTCATTAATAACCAATCCATTCATTCTTGAAAATGCAAAGCCTCTTCTGTATGAGAGGAAAAAAGTTAGCTGGTGAACTGTGATCATCTCATCCTGTCCAAGTCACAGTCTGTATTAGGACAGAGTCACTGAATAAATAAAAAATAGCTCAGTGCTACATCTAGACTTATCACCTGTCTGTCTACCCAACACTTCCTGCACCCAGACTTCTCTAACTCCAGGAACTGTACTACTATTTAGCTCCTTATTGCAAAGTATATACATATACCTATACATATACATGAGTATATACATTTACACATAAACAAACATCTGTATACATACACATGCAATGTATATATATATAAACATGGATTAAATTCTCTCACATACACTAGTTATTGTGGAAACAGGCTTCAAAATTTTCTACTTCAGTGGAAATAATTTATGCATGATATTTCTTCACAGACAAGAACATGTCTTTTGATTTGGGGCACAGGTTACATTCTCCTCTATACTTCCAGTGGAAGGCAGCAACATAGGAAGAATCAGATGGGCTGAATCTATTAATGCAGAGCTACATGGCTGGTGTCACTGTCAAAATGCTGGTTTTTTTTGTCAATGGAATGGGCCTAAGCACTAGGCATGCTGGTATCAGACAGCACTCACCTTTCTCAGAGAGGGAGGAGAGTTTTTGTTTGGGAACTAGCAGGGCTCATTGGCAAAGCCTTAAACTAGATGTGACTGGGGAGGTGAGACAATATTAGGCTTGTCCCTGGCAAGGTATGGGATGAGATACGAAGGGACAGGATGCTAGTGAGGGTCCTCTGCTGGTGACCCTGAAATGTGCTGGCCTCACTGGAGCACATTTGCAGTCATGCAGAGATGAACCAGTGACTCCTGAGGGAACAGAAGCCAACAGGGAAACACCATCCCATTCCTGGAAGTGTTCAAAGCCAGACTGAATGGGACTCTGAGCAACCAGGTCTAATGGGAGGAGATGTCCCTGCTCACGGCAGGAGGTTGGAACTAGGTGATCTTCAACGATTTAGAGTTGCTAATAAAGCATAGATTGTTTTCTGAAACTGAATATATGGACCTTGATTTCAAGAACAATGTAGAAAGAACAATTTAGAAATGAAACCATCTTCTGTCTCATCCTGATGGAAGATGAGATCTTTGAACCTCAATCACTTTATGGGAAAGTGAATTTTGTAGTATTTGCATTCAGCTCCTCCCTTTGGCCAAGGCCAAAACCAAGATCCAGGAAACCCCCTACAGTAATTTTTTGAATGACATTTCCTTCACTACCCCTGTGACACCCTCACATAAGACCAGCAGGAGTCTTCACCCTTTCTGATCCTTTGTATCACTTTCAAGCCCTCCCTCTACAGGCTCCTCTGCAGCTCAGAAACCTGTACAGGCGGCATCATACACAGCAGGACAGGGACATCCATAGGAATTAAGCTTCTAGCTCTGTACACTGGTGAGCCCAGGGACAGAGGGAGGACAGGAACCTTTGCAAAGAGTGATAATGGAGTCCTGAGCCTGCATCTAGAAACTAAGAATAAAGTTTGTGCTATTTTCCAGTTGGTCTGTGACTGTCAGAGAGTGAGCTCTGGTTTGGCAGGCAGCTCAGCAGAAGCTGCAATATTACTCATTTGGAGCATTTAACTTTTTTTCAGATTTAACTGATACAACTGTCCCTCTGACTTGCCACCTCTGTAGCATCATAGCTATTTATTCCCTGTGTCCTGCTATCAGAGTACATTTTTTTATATGAATGATCTCATTAGCAAGGTACATTTTTATCCAGGCAAATGGCCTCATTTCACTGTTTTGAGAAGTTGTCTTTCATCCCCTAAAATTTGTGACTGTTTTCTGTTTTCAGCCAAGTATGATAGAGGCCAAGGTATTGCAAAGATAATTAATTTCCTTTAAGTTTATGAAATTATTCATGTAGGAAAAAGAAATTTGAAAGCAGGTCAGAAAGAAAGAACTGTGACATGAGCTTACCTTACTGGATACTGCAGATCTGTACTGGACACACATGTTATAAATGCTCCAACCACATAAAAAATGGTGAGTGAAACTTGTACTTTCTGGTACTCCCAAGGTGCAAGACTTTAGGAAACGAGATTTCTCTAATTCTCATCTTCCAAGCTGTGAGGAAGTTAAAAATTATAAGCTAAAAATAGGTTGGAGTTAAGCTCATATTTAATGCTTCTGATTCACTGGAATCTAAAGGTAACATGGACATGAAAAATATTTTCATTTCTCTGGATCTAGCAGCCCAGCATAAAGTGAATGGTACTAAAGTGGCAGAACAAATGTGGAAAAGAAACACAGAACTATTTTTTAAATAAAAAATAGTAAATGATACTCCTGTGAAATAATGAATAGACATGAAATACAAGTTGTAATCTTCATTCATTTGCACAAAATTTCCAGTTCATCAGCTCTTTCACCTTATATCTTCATGGACAAAAAGTGATGTTTTTTCCACACTTTTAGTTGAATGTCAGGATATATATATATATATATATATGTAGATATATATATATATAGAGAGAGAGAGACAATCTAGTTTTCTTTAAGGAGATTGCTGTGTACTTAATGAACTCTGAGTTTCAGAAAAAGACATACAGGTCACTGCACCAAATTTCCCAGGATATACACTGCATGTTACATACTCTTCTTGAATATGCAGAGGGTAGTCAGAACTGAGTACTTTATATATGAACCTTGAGGAGCTTTGTTTTATTGAATTGTATTTCAAAATTTATGTAAGCCTCACGAGGCAAAGTTTCTTCTTACTGTATTGGAAGAAGTCCATGATAGGGGGTTTCCACGACAAAAAAAGGCAACCAGCTTGATAAAAGACCCTCTAGAGAGTTCTATTCAAGTATTTCTGTTGGCTCACTCACAGCGGGGGACTTCAGAGAAATTAATGTTTTTAGTGTAATTATAAACTACACAATGCAGTCCAACACAACAAAAATTTCACTGGTAAAACGCAAGGAGTGAACAAGAATAGAAATAATATTTGCTGACTGTGCTGAATTTTCCTATTGTTTTTCAGCTGTAATGAGAGTGTACGAGGACTTTTTCCTTTACAAAGGGGGAATATATCGACACACCCAGAAAGCAGGATCTAAATGGAAAACTCATTCAGTCAAACTCCTTGGGTAAGTAAAGCACATTCTCTTACCCTTTTTCTCTGCCAGTCGTTAATGTAGTAAAATGCCAATGATCAGTTCACAGAATCATAGAATCAGATGGGTTGGAAAGGACCACCCCAGTTACTACAAAAAGGGCTGCAAGGGGGACCCGGGAAACTACACGACTGTCAGCCTGACCTCAGTGCCTGGCAAGGTTATGGAGCAGATCATCCTGAGTGCAATCACACAGCACCTACAGGATGGACAAGGGATCAGAGCCAGCCAGCATGGGTTTAGGAGGGGCAGGTCCTGTCTGACCAACCTGATCTCCTTTTATGATCAGGTGACCCACCTGGTGGATGAGGGGAAGGTTGTGGATGTGTCTATCTGGACTTCAGCAAAGCCTTTGACACTGTCTCCCACAGCATACTCCTGGAAAAGCTGGCAGCCCATGGCTTGGACAGGGGCACTCTGTGCTGGGTTAAGAACTGGCTGGAGGGCAGGACCCAGAGAGTGCTGGTGAACGGGGCTGCATCCAGCTGGCGGCCGGTCACATGCATAAAAACATGAAATTGACAGTGGCCTCACAATTAACAATTAACTGAACAGCAGTCTGGGTTCTCTATGCCCTGAACAGAATCAGCAGCTCCTGGGATGCTGCCCATTTTTTTTGGTAAACTGCTGCAGAAACGTGTGTAGTACCCTAGTGGATTTCCCCTCAATTGTCAACCAGTGCTACTTTATTAAGACAAGTATCTAATAATGCATACACTAGAATTACAGAACACACTATGGGGCTTTATTCTTTGACATGGAGGGAATATGCAAGATGAATTTATTAAGTCACCAAGTGATTACACAGAAAAAGGACTGTAGAATCTCAATCAAATATTTTAGTGGTGGTCTAGAATATCAAATAAATAATGATTCAGGGCTGAGCTAGGAAGATTACAAAGAGTATCTTCAACATGTAGATCAAGAAAATAAAGTCACAAAATAAGGTGCGTTTTGTGCTTCTGACCTTGGTGAAGATATCTTTGTAAAGGACATGGAAATGCCTATGGTTGTGGAAACCTCTGGTTATGAATTACAAAAGCGGGCCTGGTAGTGGCAGAGCAGCAGAGAGAAGCAGCAGAGAGAAGCAGCAGGCTTACACAAGATCATCCTTGTTTCTATACTGCTGCAAAAAGTATTGACTCGGACTAGTAGAGGAAAAACTCCTGAATTATGATTTAAGAGAAAGTTGTGAATAAATGAAAAAGAGAAACTGGAATTTCTCATAGAAAAATGGAGGACTGAATTAGGAATATATGTTTATGGAGGGCAGTCGGTACGTACTGGTTTATGTGTGTGTATTTAAGGTATTCCTGAATAGCCATGAGAAGTCAACAAAGTTAGACAATAAAAACTGAGTGCCATTTGAATACTGCAGTCCAGGGATGAGCAGCTGTGAGGCTGTGGTTTTGGGTGTTGGGAGGGCTATGAAGCATGCTTGGTGCTAGCGTAGGGTGATGTCAGCTGTTCCCTAAGACATGCTGCCCCACATGTGTGCCTGGGTGGGTGATTAAGCGAGAAGGGCATGTAGGGACAAAGTGATGGCTGAGGAGGGAGAGAGGAGAAGATAACTAATGTGCTGAAGTGGATGCTGATTTAAATGGGAACTGATAGTCTGTGCAAAAAGATACCAGCCCTTAGGCAAGGAACCACTCGTGACCAAAATCTGAGTGCCTTGACTGAGACAGGCAGCTCCCTGCAGAGCATTGTGTGGAATGATCACTGCAAAACATGGAGTAAGAGGAAAACTGAGTGATCTGATATACTTAAGAAGGACATGAGAAGTGAAGGAAAAAAATGAAAATAGAAGGCAATGACAAGGAAACTTCAGACTGGTTCAAAGTTTAATATGTGGGGAATGCACTTGCTTACTAACTTTCATTGAACATTGCTGAAGTATCCAGTGGATCCAACAATATAAAGAATTATCCATACTTTCACTGTCTAGTGCATAAACACTCTGGCTTCCAAGATTATGCCACATAAAAATATTTGCAGAGATGTTTAACTGTAAAAATTGAACTAGAGTTTTACAAGTTGGAGGCTGTTGGAGCCAAAGGGTAGATATTTCTAGCAATGATAAATCCAGTCATAAAATGTGATGTGGCATCACTTCTTTCTATAGATTTTAATGTCTTCAGGATTAAGCTATCCCTTTTTCCAATTATTCATTAGTTTCAATTAATTTGAATGCACAATATGTGTCCTGGGTACAAGTTCTTTGTCACTCATATATAGCATTGATGATTTTTATTTGAGCAAGGGATAATTCAGACTACTTGACCTAAATAACAAACTCATGGAAATCTCACGAAGTTGTACTTCAAATAAAGATGTTGATGTTTTTTTGCATTCTGCTTAGCTGAGTTGGTTCCTCGAGAAAAAAAGAACTAGGGACATGCTGATACATAGGGTAAATGCAGTTTTATGTAGGTGGATGCTTATTGTAGTCTCATTTTTTTATTTATACTATTTGTAATATCTCAGAAACATTTTTGACAATGCCTTAAACTGCTCATGAATTGTACAACCTATAAGGTCATGGACTGATAAAATGCAAATACATTTTAGTGAAGCTTGCAAGAGCTATTTGTACAAAACCAGAAATGCACATATAAACTGCCTAATTGACCTTTGGATCATAAGGATTGTAAAGGTATTGATTGGCTTCCCTTGTTCTGCAACTTGAAATTGTTAGTTATTTTCTATCATCAGCTTGTTTGTACAATCAACTGTGACAGGAATGTAAGTCTGTCTCCACTGAGGTAATCTGTGACCTCAGGCACAGGGAGAGAATGTGAAAAGACAGAATAGCATGGAAGTAGGAGAGGGAAATGTGGAACAGCCAGGCAGAGGTGGTTGCAGGTAGCAGACAATTTGGGTTCAATCACGGTCTCCACAGACAGTGAAATGGGGCTTTCAGCAATTTGAAGGCAGGAGAGACTGATCCCACTGACGTTGAGAGAGCAGGATCTCTCAAACAGATTTTGTGTCAGTATTTCAGAGACAGGGAGGTAAGCAGAAAAAGTGAGTAGTGGAGATTGAGATAAATAACAGCTACGTTTTGATGAAGAAAAGTTAAATTCTTATGCCTCTTCTAAGCATACATGTTCCTCTGTATCTTCCATAGCTATTCATCTACACTAGCTAAGTAATTATCTTACAGTGAGCAGAATTGCTTTGTTGGATGTGATTACACTTCGTGGACTATAAACGAATCTGTGGGGGTAATATCAGACTTATATAGCTAAAATGAAAATGTCTAGATTAGGTTAGAGAAATTCCACATATAATGGGATCCTAAAGCAGCTTAAAGCCAAAATTACTGGTACATAGTGTTCATAGGATGTCAATATTTTTGGAATGTCTTGATGTATGTTTGTGTATATGTACATATATGCATTCATGGATCCATACACAGGTAACTACAGCTCTTAATGACACCAGTATGAAAACAAGTTGAAAAGGTACAATGAAACTTCCATATAACATATGAAAGTGTCATCTTTTCCTCAAGATCTCTTAATAAAACTAGACTAAAATCACATCAAAGATTAACTTGGTGGTAGATTTCTCTCAGATCTGTACATTTAAGCTAGAATATCCAAACAAACCTGTTATATCTGTTCAATAGCAGATAGTGTCCACAATAAAAGAAAACATGAGGCATATTTGTTGGTGGTGTAAAGGTGCCATAGTGTATTCAGTATAGAGGACGTACATTGGATGAAGGGGTTGAGGTTCTAGTTAAAACAAATCTCTTTTCAAAGATAGTGAAGTAAAGTATCCATCTTTAATGTTTTTCAGCAGACAAATCTTCTCTCAGACTTTTTCCTCTGCATCACTTCAGTACCAGTGCCAAGCTACAATATATGATTCATACCTTCACCAAAAAACTGTATCTGCTGAAGCAGACACTGAAAAATCCACTAAGGTCTCAAAAGCCTGTGCCTTTACTTACAATTAAATCTGTGGACTGTCATCTTAAGGCTTGGAGGGGACAAGAATAGTATTATTAAAAGCTTTTGTACTCTTTCATGAACAAGATACATTTTCAGATCCTTGGAAGGTGCTCAGGGTGACAAAAGATTTCAATAAGGACACTGAGATGTACATTAACTGGGAACGTATTTCCCCTCTATTTTAATCAATGATTCACTGGAATATTTAAATGCAATTGTGCAGCAAATGAAATGGCTTAGCCAACTCCTAGACTGAAATATCTATGCACTGAAAAAAACATTGGTTGAATGTTTAACACAAAAACCCATACTAATGGAGATCAAATTGATATGTGAGGCAAAAAACCTTGTGGTTTAGTGTTGAGGGGACGGCCAGACAGAGCAACAGAAATCTAAGATTTAATACACAATTAAATGACTCTACTGTGCAAAGTCCAAAGTCTTAAAAAAGTCACCAGTGTCTACTGGTAGTGACATCTGGGATTTTGTCTTTGAAGACAATCTTTTTCTCTACATTTCCCTTTTGTTCTCTCTCAAACTTACACTCAGAATAACAACAAACAAGTAACATCTTAAAGCACCAAAAGTCGTAACCCAAATTATTTTCTTCATGAATAAAGAAACTTTGCCTTTATTTCCCTTTTTCTTTCATGGGAAAAAAATAATCTACTTTATTATTGTCAGACAATCAACATTAGGTATTGTAGTTAAAACTTAAACAACAACACTCAAATATATTTTACAGCAAAGAATATTTTACAGTTAGAAGATCATGGATAAAACATACACAGTGTCTGATGATTCATGCAGTTAAATCCATGAGAGTATCTCCCATATAATTCATTACAGTAGATCTGTGGTAGTGATTTAACTGTTGACTCACTGGTAATTTGACTCACCTCCCAGGCTGAAAAGTCCAGGCAAAACTGTAGTTTCAAATTCCAGCAACCATTTTCTAAGAAGCTTTTTCTTGTGGTAAGCATTAGTCAGTGACCCTAACCTTCTTCTTAT